TGTTCCTTGGGGCAATGTGACTTCTAGGTGCTCTATTTAGACTTGGATATTGATGTAAACTCCCAGTCAGAGCAATTCTGCCTTGAGAAGAATGCTGGGATGGAGGATTGCTTGCAGTGCATTCTGGGAGAGGAGCCAACTGCTCATGTACCATTTTTGGGGGGGGGGGGCCTGCCTTGTCCCAGAATTCCAAAGTGCCCGCCTCAAAATTATAGTTTATTTTGTTGACTTGAAATCGCCAGCAAGAGCGCAGACCCTTCATTCAAGCAGCTCCAGAATGTTGACTGACTGCAGCCCCGCCCTGGAACCTAGGGGAGAATGTCCCAGATGTTTCTGGAGGGCTCTGTTTATAGCGCTCTGACTCTTGCCCGCCGGAGACCTTTCACAAGTTCATCACCAGGAAGCTGAGTCATCCAGGGGTCAGCTGGCATGATCAAAAGTCATCCAGGGCTGCCAGCAGCACAGATAGCGTTGGCTGGGCATTTGGGGGGAGCCGTGTAGGAATGGCCAAGTGGATGAGCTCAAGCTCCTCCTCCCCCGCATCCTCCCCTCTCTCGGGGTGGGGATTGGGGTGGCAGCTGCACATCCTGGGGTAAACAGCAAAGATCCATCTCCTTCCATTCACCCCGATTCTTTCCTTCTCTGAATTCAAGGCCGAGGTCAGAACCAAACAAAAACACAGAGCCAAGGATAAAATGCCCTCCTCATGTCTCATCTTTGGGTTCAGCTCAAGCTCTTAGTCCCTTGGCTGTGGTCCCAGGCTCATCTCCCCACCCTTACCAGGTTTAGGGGGCAACAGTCCCCTAAGTCACTCACCCACATTCCCATTCCACAGTCCCACGTGCCCGAGTCCCTTTCTTTTCTTTCCTGTGTGTGTATGTGTGTGCACGTGTCTGTGTTTATAGAGGCCAAAGGACAATGCTTAGTCATTACTCCTCAGGTGCTGTTTACCCTGGGTGTGTTTCATCCACACCAGCTTCACCTTCCCCAGCCTTGGCGTTGTTACTGCTTTGAGTCAGGGTCTCCTATGTAGCCCAGGCTGGCCTAGAACTCACAGAGATCTGCTTGTCTCTACATCACGAGTGCTGGGATTAAAGGCCGGTGCTACCACGCCTAGCATTACCTTCCCTATTTGAGACGGGCTCTCACTAGGCTAGGCTGTTTGGCAAGCTAGCCCCAGGTTAAACCTTCCTTTCCCTGGTGCTGGGATTGCAAGAGTGAGCCTATGTGCCTGGCTTTATTTATTTATTTATTTATTTATTTATTTATTTATTTATTAAGTGCGGATTCTGGGCGTCTGACTCGGGCCTTTGCGAGTACTTCACCAATGACTGAGCTATCTCCCAAGCTGCAGGCAACTTTCTCTTTCTCCTCCACATCCCCAACTTTCCCATCCTTAGCCTTGGTGTCCACTTTGCCATCACTCCCTAATCTAAATTAGGTCCCCTGCATCTCTTCTATAGCACTGCCTATTTAAGACATTCAGAGTTTGGAAATTGAGGGATTTGGGATTTCCTTTTTCTCCCCTACTAGATCATAAATACCTCAAAGGCCAGAACCCCGCCCACCTTGCTGGGCTTTGCCCCCAGCAGTGTACGAATGGATAGCTCACGGGAAGATCTCTGGCAGCACAGTCATTTTTCCCTACTGGGGACTTCTGCAACCTGGGCTCACTCTCGCCCTAGTCCCTCATCTTTCTGTCACCCCTGGGAGCCCTTCTCTCAGGCAGCTTTGGTTTAAATCACACACCCTCCTCGCTCCTTCTTCCCAGGGAAAAGATTTTAGTTAGCCTTGGCTCTCACCCGTAATGGAAGCTTTCTGCCTTCTTTGCGTCCAGAGAAAACTTAACTCCAAAGTGTCAGGCATACACTGTGCAAGTCACATAACATCGATTTAACAAACGGGCCCCAGAGACTGAAACCTGAAACTTCTGATTGATCCTTTGGAGTGTCCTTTCCCGAGGCCTTTGCATGTGATGCTTAGGGTTTCCTACCTGGTGTCACCTTTTTGGAGACAAGGTAGAAGGTCCGTGGTGTGACTGGCCTGACTGCACATATATCCCCCTGTGCTGTCGAGATTAATAGTAGAGTTTGTGCAAATTATGGCCCCGGGAATTTATCTCCAAACCTTAGACCCTTGGGACACCCTGACCTCTGGGGCTCAGCTTTGCTGGTGCTCATGGCCTTGGCCGTTTCCCTGTGTGTTGTGCCCTGGACTCTGGAGGATAGTCTGGGGAGCACTTAAGACCCTGCTGTGTGCATGTGGGTGAACCGTTGTTGGCCCCTGACTCCTTGGCCATTGTTAAAATGTCTCGGTGAGGCACAGTGACCAACAGTGGATGATTCTCACAAGAAGCAGCCGCACAGATGCCCCGCCTGATATAATTATACGCAGAGGAATGAGCAAGCGAAGGCTGGCGACAGGCTCGCTCTGAATGCTGCTTTCTTCCTCTGTTTATTGGGCTAATCACCGGGCACACCGCAGAAGGTGTGGTGGCTCTGTGAAGGGTGTGGAAGGCGGCCTTGTAGAAGCTGGCAGGGCCGCACCCAGTTTGGAGGCATGCACAGGGTGCCCGTCTCCCGATGCAGTGTGGGTTTCTGCTGAGCTGCACCCCCCTGAATCCTGGGCCCCCCTCCCTTCCTTGGTATCAATGCCAAGGGCTGTGTCTCAGGGCCACTGGCCTTGTCAGCCACCTGGTCTCTCACGCAGACACATTGCTGGTGTTCATCCGTCCGTTCCCTTGTGCCCGAACAGCTGGGATGTGTTCTGGGAGGGTGTCTCCTGGGGTGGCAAGTGGCTGGCACAGGCTGGGGAAGAAGTGCTGTGTCATCCAGGCAGGTTGGCCTATGGGAGGAGCAGAGCTCAGGTTTTGTGGCCTAAGCACTTTGTCTTTCTTTTCAGATGCTTTCTCCATACACTTCTGGGCTAGGGACAGTTCTGGGTGGGTGGGTGTGGGGAGGACTGACCCTGCAGAGAGCCTAAGATAGGAAAAGGCTAGCTCCTGGAGGGCTGGCCTGCAGGAGACCTCAGGGAATTCTGAGTCCAGATTCTTGAGATACATGCTTGGAGCAAACTTTAGGTTAAATCTTTTTGAAATTGAGACTAAATATACATGTACATAAAATATGTTGTTTTGCCCTTTTTAAAACTCTCTCTGTGTGTGTGTTCATGTGTGGGAAGGCCAGAGATAACCTGGAATGTTCCTCAAGAGCTGCCTATCTTTTTTTTTTTTTGTAAATTTTTAAATTACATTGACACACACACATGTATGTGCTTTGCCTACATGTATGTCTATGTACCACATGTGTGCTCGGTACCCACAGAGTTCAGAAAGAGGGCATTGGATATCCTAGAACTGGAATGACAGATAGATGTAACCCATGATACTGGGAATTGGGCTCAGATCTTCTATAACAACAGCAAGTGCTCTTAACTACTGAGCCATCTCTCCAGCCCCTGACCTTGTCTTTTGAGAGCGGGTCTCTTTTTACCCAAAACTGTTAGGCTGGCAGGCCAGAGAGCGCCAGAGATCCACACCTCCATCGCCAGCGCCTTTCTGTGCCTGGCTTCTGCATAGTTCTGGGATTGGGTTTGGGTCCTCAGGCTTGTTTGACAAGTGCTTTACTGATAGCCATCTCTTGCCTTCTGCACGCATACCCTTCAAAAGTTTAATGCTTTTCCTTTGTGATGTAGCCAGACTCAGGCATCTTTTTATCTTGCAAAACTAGACCCCAACTCTTAAATAACGAACTCCTATTTCCCCGCCCTCCAGACCCTAGCAGGCTTCATTCTGCTCCTTCTCTTTGAATGCTGTTCCTTTAGTGCCTCATGTAACCAGAATCTGCCCTTTTGCAGTTCCTTATTTCAGTTATCATAATGTCTTCCATGTTCACCCATAATGGAACATGTCAGAATTTCCACCATTTATAAGGCTAGACAGTATTTTATTGTATGACTAAAATCACATTTATCTCTATCTGTGATGGACAGCTGGACTCTTTCTGCCCATCCAAATACCCCGAGACCCCGCTTTCATTTCTCCTTGATGTATCCCCGCAAGTGGAATTGCTGGATCCTTGGAAACTCTGCTTTTAACTTTTAGAAGAACTGCCTGGCTGTCCTTTAAACATTCCTACCAGTCGTAAATAGTGTGTTTGAAGGAGAATGGCTCCCATAGGCTTATGTATTTGGATGCTAGGTCTCTAGTTGGTGGAACTGTTTGGGAAGGATAGGATTAGGAGGTGCAATCCTGTTGTGGAAGAGCTGTATCACTAGGGGTGGGATTTGAGGTTTCAGAGGCCCCTATCAGATCCAGTCTCTCTGCCTCTATCTCGAGGATAAGAGGTGAGGTTTCAGCTAGTGCTCCAGCTGCATCCTTATCTGTGCGGCCGTGCTCCCCACCATGACCATCTACCCTCGGAAGCTGTAAGCAGGCCCCCAGTTAAATGCTTCTTTGTAGGAGTTCCTTGGCCACAGCAATGGAACAGTAGCTAAGCCGAGTGCACGAGGGTTCGGGTTTTCCCTGGTCTTCAGCCACTCTACACCTTTGGTTCTTCTTCTGACAGTGTCTCCTGTACAGCCCTGACTGAGCTTGAGTTTATATGCTCCCTGCCTTCACTTCCCAAGTGCTGGGATTTTAGGTGTGCACCACCGTGCCTGTCTAGGTGTGTTTAAAAAACTATTTTTAAATATAGGTGTTTTAATATAGTAAAGAGTGGGGGGGGGCTTTTGTTCTGACCGCCCAGCTAGCTTATACCCAAAATAATCACACAGAAATTGTATTAATTAAATTACTGCTTGGCCCCTAAACTCTAGTCTCTTCTTGGCTAACTCTCACACCTTGATTCAACCCATTTCTAATAATCTGTATGTCATCATGAGGTCATGGCTTACCAGGAAAGATTCAGCGTGTCTGACATGGCAGCTTCATGGCGGCTTGACTCTATCATCTGCTGCTTTCTTCCTCCCAGAATACAGTTCTGTCTTCTCCGCCTATCTAAGTTCTGCCCTATCAGGCCAAGCAGTTTCATTATTGATTAACCAATGAAAGCAACACAAATACAGAAGGACCTCCTATGCCATTTTCAAGCTGCAGATAAGTCCAGTGTACATTAATGAACGTGCATTAATGTCGGAGGCTTACCTCCTCCAACTAAATATTCCGACACACTGATGCGCCTTTGTTTATCCATGGTGCTGCCAGTTATGTAGATTCTGAGACTTGATATTCGGAATGTGTTCTTAGAGACAGTGTTAGCCCCGTTTCTTCATTCAGCCTGTGTTTGTAGTTGTACAAGATGGTGAACAAAAGCACTAGGAATCTGCATGTCAAGCCTCCGTGGCAGTGGGCTCCCAGAGAGGTGACACGATCGCTCAGTGCCTCTGTGGTGGCCAAGCAACATTTTGGGGGACCATCTGTTTGGCAAAGTGAGTCCCACCACCACGTCAGCATTTGTACCAGGTGTACATTCCTAGAGAATCTCAGGCCAGAACACCTGCATCCCATCTCTGGGCTGCGGGAGGTCAAAGTTCTTCAGGGCAACTGGGGTAGGGGTGGGGGTCATGGGCAGGGGAGGGAGGCTGTTCAATGTGCAGACCTGCAGCTGATCTCCACCCTCACCTGTCTGCCACCCTGCGGCAGCCACACTTGCCCGCACTCCAGAAGGCATCCAACGAGGCCAAAGGCTTGCCATTGAGGGGGAGCTTGGTCATAACACACCACACAGTGGTCTCAGTGTATCTGATTGCTCAAGGACCCTCTCCAGCCCTGGGCTGGAACTTTAGTACCCAGTAAAGGTGAGCCAGGAGGCCAGGTGAGCGAGCTTCCTGGAGCACTTTTGTTTGCCACTCTCTTAGCTCATGTAAACTGATATTAGTGACAGCTCCCCATCCTCCACACTAGTTAGCTGTCCAAGTTCCCTTTGTTATATAACCAGGATTAATTTAAGCAGCTCTATCCCTTCATTCAGAAATGACAGGGAAGAGGAATGACTGTGGGAGTCTTGTGGTGTCCCCCCGGGGACAGCCTGGGCAACTTTCCTTTCTCCTGGGCCTTCGCTTTCACTCTGTTGAGTGGGATGGCAGAACGGAAGGGTACCGGTTCCTCATTCCTTCATCCTGGGAAGTACACAAGCGCTTTCACTCTGTTGAGTGGGATGGCAGAACGGAAGGGTACCGGTTCCTCATTCCTTCATCCTGGGAAGTACACAAGCTAAGAGGTCTCTCTGCAGGTGAGGCAGCCGAAGGTCAGAGAGGTCAAGTCAGTTGCCGAGCTACAAAGTTGAATCAGGACTTCAGCGACTAGGTGGCAGCGGATTGGGCCATCTTTGTGTCCCGGCTTCAAATCAGCTTTCGCTGTGCACCTGATGGATGGAGGCATGCATTGGTGGTGGATGAACCTGTAGCTGTCCCTGCCAGGCATGGAGATATCCTAAGGAGCTGTCCCTCCCTTTGACTATCAGACTGTTGAGATATCGAAGCCCAAGGTATTGGGATTTCCCCCAGGAGTCTCCTGCTTGGAGAAAGGAAGAGACTGCAGGCTGGTGGCAGTGCCAGGGAGCTTATCTCCCTGGAGGAGGTCACAACAGTTGTCAGCATTTCTGATCACCTTGTAGGAGAGACCAGAGCGGAGGCAGTGATTGCCACTTTGCCTAAAACTGTGTATACATTCCTCTTCCTTCTGTGTAAGCCAAAGCGTCACAGCGGGACCCCGAGTATGGAATGGGGGCGCCACTGGACCTCTGTGTTTCTCTTCCAAGCGTGGGCACCTTGAATAAATCAAATCCCCTTTCCTCTGCTTTCCACAATGACTTGTGTATTTAGTTGACCCGTTTAAGACAGATGCCTGCGCCCAGGTTGCTGGGACTGACCCTAACTCAGATAATGAACTGCCAGCTCTACTCCATGTTCCACTGTCCCCAGCCTTGTGCCCAGTGGCCCAAAGTGATCATCCTCTGGGGTGAAGCCTCTCACCTGTCTCTGACCCTCTGACCCCGTCTCTCTATTCCATCCCATCCCGTCCCGTCCCATCTTTATCGTACTGAGCTATCAATTAACGTCCCCAGACAGAGAGTAGAAGCTGTGTCTCTGTGACGCCTTGTGTGGATGGTTGAAGTGGGCATCCACCAGACCCTGAGACTGGGTTTTCCAGCAAGATATAGTTGAAGGACAGGCAGAGGGCGCTGTCCCCCTGACCAGCTAGCTCTGTGTTACTTTTCCTTCAGAGCGGAACAAAGCTGGAGGTAAATGGTGTGGGAGTGGGGTGGGAAGTAGCACTTAGAAGGCAAATGAGAACTTTGAAGGTAGCCCTACCATGCCAGACAACCATTGCCGGCAGAGCCTCAGCACGACCTTGCTTATCTTCCTGGATCCTTGTTCTCTCATGCGCGCAGAGTGAACCTGCCCGGTCCAGGCCGATAGGCTTCTGTGGTGCCTGCATGGGGACTCTTGGGTTAAATTTGTTCTTTTGTGGCCTGCCAAGCCTACCTATGCTTTGTGAAAATAACATGCTGTTTCTCCAGTTTGTCTTGACATCTTGTCCTTACTTGTGAATGGAGTGTTTACAAGCCATTCAGCTCCTCAAGACTGGCTGAGTCAGTGGGAGGCCTCAGAAGTGCACTTTATTGGCATGGAGTTGAACTGTGTCTCTTGGACGCATTAGCCTTTGGATACTGGTACGTTTTGAACATCCTGTTTAAAACACAGTGTTGAAATTGAGCTGCTGCCGTTTGGATTGTGGCACCTGGCAAGATGGGCAAGTGTCGTGGTCTCTGGACGGTCAGGAAGTTCTGCAGTCACCAGTGGAGTCCAAAACGGCATGATAAACAATATAAGAAAGCCGATGTGGGCACAGCTCTGAAGGCCAATCTTTTTAGACCTACTTCTCATGCAAAGGGAATTGTGCTGGGAAAAGCAGGGGTTGAAGTCAAGCGGCTAAATTCTGCTGCCGGGAGGTGTGTCAGGGTTCAACTCATCAAGAATGACAGGAAGATTACAGCGTCTGTGCCCAGTGATGGCTGCTTGACCTTCACTGAGGAAAACCGTGAAGTTTTTGTTGCTGGATTTGGTCCAAATGGTCACGCTGTAGGTGATGCTCCCAGAGTCCTTTCTAAGGCTGTTAAAGGAACCAGTGTGTCTCTTTTGGCCTTGTTCAAAGGCAAGAAGGAAAGACCGAGAGCATGCATTTTGACAATGGAAACACAATAATAAATTTACATTTTCTGGAAAAAAAAACAAAGAAAATGAACTACTATTATAGCACAGTTGAGAAACAGGTCCTTCAAGGGGGAGGCTGAGACAGGGCTCCCACCTACTGAATGGATTGATGCCCCGATACAGGAAGAGGTCAGTTACCATGGGAGTGGGGGAGGGCCTGATGAGAGTGTTTGGCTGGATTTACTGTGTTGCTTGCCTTTGCCTTTCTGCCTTCCAAAATGCAGGGACCCTCCCCAAATATTGGCATATGTACTTGGACTTCCCCCAAACATGGCTGCTGTTACAGCCAGTTGAAGGTGTTCTGTGATAGCAGGAGAAGAAGGCCTGAGACAATTACTGGTTCAGCTCTATGTTTCTGTCCCTCTTAGATACCCTTCCTGCCCATGACCTCAATGGGTATCTGGCCCAAATTCTTTTTCCGGAGACCAAATGGTGATATGTTGATTCAGCACTATATCTAGTTCGACTGGAGACAGCGGCCATGAGGTCTTTGGGGGAATTGGCTCAGGACTTGGCCTGTGAGGACGATGGTGTAGGCCATGCATAGACAGAGCCCACTAAGAGCTGCCTGGACTTGAACTTAAGGAAACTGGGGGAACTTAGGCAATTCATGTGACTTAGTGTGATCATAGAAGCGGTGCATGCTGGGGACAGGCAGGAATTTGGAGTTGCATCACTTGGTTCTCTACCACGATTTCCTCATTTATAAAATGAGCTTGCCATTCTTTTCTTGTTTTTATTATAGTATTTTTGGTAAATAGAGATAAGGGCATAGAGTCTGCCAGTCTGTAAATGACAGAAACAGGACTAGAGGCTCTGTTCTGAGTGGGAAGGAGTGACCCGTGTCTCAGGTTTCCCTTCTGTCTCCCAATGAGGTCACAGTTGCCCCAATGAGATCCCAGGCCTGCTATCTGGTATCCTGGGAATTTGCCCCACCTGAAGGGTAGAGATTGGTTAATTCTTGGGGTGTGTCTCACTTGGGGTGTTCTGAGAGTGTCTTGAGTAAACTGGCCAGGCATGGATTCTTTTGTCCTTCCCTGCTGGCTGTGGGGCTTTCTGGAGAAAGGATTAAACCCAAGGCCAGCTCCTGGGGTCAGGAATGGGAGCCATAGCCTCTTATCCTTGGAGCCATAGGCATGCTATGTATGAGCTGCTGCCCTAGGTAGAGGGGAAACCCGAGTGGTGTGTGTGACAGTGGCCACAGCTTTGGAGAGAGCAGCCAGCCTGTCTGGGGACCCTGAAGGGAGGGTTTTTGTCTGTCCAGCCAAATGCCTGAGATTTCCTGCTGGCTGTCCCGTCACTGTTTTAAGTAGCATATAGCCATGCCTGGGAAGTCAGCTGATTGAATTCCAGCTTCACTGGCTCAATACTGGCCTTCCTTTCTGTTGTCTGGTGCTAACCTGCCTTTCTTATAGCCATCTTCAGATGCCCATGTAATGTTCCAGCTCTTCCTCTGAGTCTTGGCCAGTGCTCCTCCTATCCCCATACCTTCCTGAGGGACATCCCTGCACGTCATATCCCAGTCACATGATCTTGTCTGCCGGTTAACTCTGCTTGTTCACATGGTCCTCTTTCCTCAAATACCCAACCCCTTTCCCCATGTCTGTGCGCTCCCCCAGCTGGTTCATTGTTCCCATACCCTCCGTGAATGGGCTTACTTTATATTTTTCCCAGAGTAAGAGAGTCTAGAAAATTAAATAGTCTAGAAAGAGCAGTAGTGACAAGTTCTGACAACTTGGTGCCCTGTCCCTTTTCCTAGCTGCAGTGGTCCCTCTCTGGCCACCTTGGAGGTGAGAATCTTTGTACCCTGGTGCGCCCCTGTGTGGCCACAGGGGGAGAAGCAGGCTTGGTTCTGTGACTCCTTCACACAGCCTGAGGAACTTGACTATTCTGGCCAAGGTGGAATTCCATTCAACACACAATGCAGTTTGTCCCCCAGAAACAGCAAGTGCCTTGGCCGGGACCTAGATTAGTCAGCAGAGTGTCTGCCTGATATGCCCGAGGACCTGGTTTAATGGCTAGCACAACAAGCAAAACTAGCATTACCCCCTAAAGCACACCCTACCGGACCCTGCGGGCTTCAGGACTGTCCCTCCCTGGGGAGTGGCAGGTGTGAGGAGCCTCCCTTGTCATAGATAGCCAGGAAGGCAGGACTGCGGAACTCGGACATAACACCATTCAGAGGATGGGGATCCCCGAGGGTCGGGGGTGAAGGGAGGACAGAACCTTCGCTGTTTGCGTATGAACACACTTTCTCTTGGCCGCCTCCTCCCATTGGGGCCACCTGAAGAAACTCAGGAACTTTGGCATGGTATCAGGCTCCTCCAGGCCCACTCTCCTCACTGTTTCTAACTCCGTCCTTCTAGCTGGTATTGGAGCTGGACCAGCCTTTCTGCTTGCTCCCAATTAGAAGTTCTCAGCAGAGCATGGGAGGTCTCTGTTCAGAATACACGTTTTGGAGCGCCCACTGTGAGTGCTGTGTAGACTCCCTGAGTGCTGTGTAGACTCCCCCCCCCCACCACCATTTCAGAAGACAGCAGCAACCCCTCGGGTGGTCATCTTCTCTTGCTGCTCCCTAAACCTCTAAACATCAAAGGACACGGTTTTCCTCCTCATTAAATAGACACTTATGCATGTCTTTATTTTCGTACATCCGGATAGGGAAGTGTGTCTTGTGGATGTGGTTTCTAAATCGGATGGTGTAAATTCAAAGCACAGCTGATGAGTTAGAGCGAAGCGTACTGACTCCTGTGAAAGCAGTGTGATAAAATTCTTTACTATGTATGCTAATTTTAAGGACCAACTTTCTACCAAAGCAAAGCGTGAGCTGGAGTTCAGAGCTTGTGGGTGAGCTGAGATGCGTTGACGCCATGGTTTCTCTTCCAGGACTTAGTCCACTGCTTCATTCTTGGTTAGTGGGTATGGGAATGGTGCTGGCTGCTGGCTGTTTATACAGGATTTCAAAGGACCAGGATGGGACCAATGTGAGTCTGTCTTTTGTAGAGCAGAATGAAAAAGGGTGCAGGTTCTAATTGAGCAGTACTGGTGAATTAGGGGTGCTGGTGTTTTAGAGGTGCTGGTGGGTTAGGGACATAGATAAATTGAGTATTGAGGGCTTCACTGCTCATGCTGCTTCTTGTGTTTTGGGGTTCCACACTTGTAGTATTATAGTATTCCACTATCTGTAGACGTCCCAAGGATTCCGGATTTGGGGTTCCACATTTGTAGTATTGTAGTATTCCACTATCTGTAGACATCCCAAGGATTCCGGAAGAACAGACATGGCTCTCCAAGGCCTGGGTGAATTTATAGCTTCATTCCAAAAGACATTGCTTCCCACAGAACACTTGGCCAGAGGAGCCTCTTCCTGCTGGCCTTGGGCTGTGAGCCGCTGTGGGGTGAGTCATGGGGAGGTCTCAACTTGGGAATGAACTCCTAGGCCACCACAACCCTCTGTGTTGTGGGTGGCTGTTGGTGGAAGATGGCCTTGTGTGTCTGCAGGGCAACCTCAGCTCCCAGTGTGGAGGGAACTCAGTGGAGCGCATGAGCTGAGCCTGTTTGTGTGTGTGTGTGTGTGTGTGTGTGTGTGTGTGTGTGTGTGCATGCGTGCATGCGCATGTTCACACCAGGGCTTTGGAACCCGTACCCTGGCTGGATCCCCGTGGTTCTTGGCTTTCACATTATCTCTGACCCTGGAAGTGCCACATGTACTTTGAACCCGGGAAGGTCCGCTCTCCACCCTCTTTTGAGAAATGTGAGATGGGAGATTGAAAGTCGCCAGCGACTCTCGGGCAGAGTCAGTGCTTTGGTGATGACACACTGGTGCCTGGGCTGGGCAGCGTCCCGAGCAAGTGCTTTTGGGAGCTCCGAGACCTCTCTTCCAGGTTTTCTTTTGTTCTTTTGGGCCGGACCCAGCTTCCATACTCCCCATGGATCAGGTGGAGGGGAAGGTGCTTCTGGGGTCCTGTGTTTTCTATCTAAAGACAGGGCGGCGCTCCACGGGCTCGTTGCCTCTGGTTATATGATCCACGAGCTCACCTGGGACAGCACACACATTTTCCACTCTCCCTCCTCCCCTTTCCCCGCCTCCCCAGGTTAGAGAACAGGCTATTGTCTTGTCCTGGGGAGGGTACGAGAAAGAGATGACCCCTCTCCTAATCTCTCTGGAAGCTTATAGAAGGAGCTTGGCCTATGCATGTGACATTGCCTAAAATCCCTCATGTACCGCAAGCACCTGGTGCCCCAGGGGGCCTGACCGAGAGCCACACTCATGAGTGACAGAGCTAGGCCGAGCCCCAGAGCACGTTGCTCTTTGCTGCCCCCTTGAGAGTGAGTGGCGGTAGTGCAGAAGGCGGCTCGGGAAAGCTCCGAAGCAGAAAAGGCTGCGCTCCTGCTGTTGGCTACTCCTGACCGCTCCCTGCTGACCATCCTGTCCTCTGTCCTTCCTCTAGAGGGGCTGCCCCAGGGTCTCTGACACATACAGACTCCCTGTATTTCCTGCCTCAGAGGTTTGTCTGTTGGCCCCAGCTGTGTTTTCACAAGTGTGCTTGGCCAAGTGTGACTGCTTATTAAATGAGAAAAACCGCTTGTGCTGCCAAAGACACATGTTTAGGAAGTACCTGGTTAAAACGAGCTAAACAAGTTTCTTTCCGGAAGGGTTTCCCAGAGCCTACCGCGTGCTGATGTGTGGACTAGATTTCTAAGAGGTAGGAATTACAGCCCAAACATGGAGACTGAGTGTAAGGAAAGGCATCCAGGTCTAACGCAGGACCCGAAGTCCCGATGGGCTGGGGAGCCTTGCTGGAGAAAGGCACTTGCTGCGGAGCCTTGTGGCCTGAGTTTAAGCCCCCTTACCCACGTGGTAGAAGGACAGAATTCATCCTTAAAGGTTTGCTCTTGCCTTCACATGAGCACCATGGCACATGCGTGCTCACATACGTACACACATACACACAAATGAATGTAAAATGATGAAGATGAAACTCAGCCAAATCCTTTCTCTGGAGCGTGTGCGTGCGAGCGTGTGTTTTCTGCATCTTCGCGTAGCCACATTTGTTCATTTCCTTCACTTTTCTCATGTCTTTTTATTTTTTAAAAAATGTAGTTATATATATATAATATACAGATTGTATATATTATATACCCTAATGTACATGTAATATGCATATTACACATACACACACACACACACACGTATACCATTTTCAAGCTGGGCCCAGAGAACTAGTACTTGCCTTGCAATCATGTGGTTTAGAATTTGGATCCCAGCATCCACATAGCAAGGCAGTCATCCTATGCAGGTCTATGACCCCAGCTCCCAGGGAGTTGGAGATGACTGGGGCTTGAAAACTTCCAGCCTAACTGAGCAAATATGTCCCAGGTTCAGGAAGAGACCCTGTTTCAGAGGAATAGGTGGAGAACACTAGGTGACGTTTCAGACACACCCACTCCACACACACTTGTACACACGCGCACACACATACACACGCACACACATGCACACACACACGTATACACACACACCTTTCATACATTTTGCCGTCCTCACCCTTGTTAAGTACCTACAGCTCAGCATCATCTCCCAGGTCCGTGGTGTTGTGTAATCATCGCCACTGTCAATCTACAGAACTCTTCCTATTGCAGAGTCAAACTCCTGTGCCCCCTAAACATGTCTCCATCATCCGCCCTCAGCCTCTGCCCGCCCCCACTCCCAGCTGTGTGGATCTGACTGTGGTGGGTCCCTCCTGTCAGCGCAGTACTCTGGGAAGTGGATAGCCACATTGTTGCTAAACCCTCCTTTTTCTAATGTTAATATTTTAAATATCGATATGTCTTGTCTTTATTAAAAGTGAACAACACATTGATTATTAATATGGTTCAACTTCGGACAAATACTGATTTTGTGATAAACCAACCATGAAATAGTATCTTTTCCCCACGTGCCTTCAAACTCAGAAATTCATTTTACTTTTTGTCTCATTTCAGTGTGTAGATATTGATGTATTTACCTTTATGTATGTCATCAGACTTATTTTGGAACTGGAGTTCCCTATTGTTTATACATTATTGGTAAGAGTTATTTTACATCCAGTGCAATGCATACATTTTCAGTATACCATTTAATTCTAGTAAAATACATAGTAGAAAAAATATCAGTTTTCTCTTGTTAAAGCGCTTTTTTTTTAAAAAAAAAGGTTTTTATTGAGCTATATATTTTTCTCTGCTCCCCTCCCTTCCCCTCTCCTCCCCTCCTCCCCTCTCCCATGATCCCTATGCTCCCAATTTACTCAGGAGATCTTGTCTTTTTCTGTTTCCCATGTAGATTATATCCATGTATGTCTCTCTTAGTGTCTTCATTGTTGTCTAGGTACTCTGGAATTGTGAACTGTAGGCTGGTTTTTCTTTGCTTTATGTCTAAAAGCCACTTATGAGTGAGTACATCTGATAATTGTCTTTCTGTGTCTGGGTTACCTCACTCACTATGATGTTTTCTAGATCCATCCTTTTGCCTACAAATTTCAAGCTGTCCTTATTTTTCCTGTTGTGTAGTACTCCACTGTGTAAATGTACCACATTTTCCTTATCCAGTCTTCGGTCGAGTAAATCCTCGTTCTTTTGGGTTGCTTTTACCTACTTTTTTCCACTTCTGACCCATCAGACAGAGACTGTCAGCTCTCTTGTTTACATTTAATAGACAGAGGTACTGAGAATTGAAAAGTAAGCGGTTAAAATGATTTCCCTCCCTGCATCTCTTCACCCGTCTGCCTCGCTCCTCACCCACCTGGCTCCAGTTTTTCCTCTGAAGCTATGCCAACTTTCGTGCCACCTCTGGACGCCTCAGGGGTTATCCTCTTTCCTTCCTGTCACGTGCTTGCTTTTTCTCTTTTCTTTTCCTTGCTGTCTTTTCTTCTTTCTATTTTGAGAGTCTGACTCTGGGTGTTTGCTCTTTGGTGAGGGCCTATCTGGGCCCTGCTCCATGCACACGGCCACCTGCTCTACTCCAGGTGAGTATCATTGAGCACCCCCACGGACAGAAACACCCACCAGATTGCAGAGATACCCCCTTTGACTTTGCCTTTTTCTTAGGAGGTTGGTGCACTTAGGTTCAATAGTGTTTGGCGTAGCCGCCACGTCTTTATCAGAACAGGGGATGGAAATGCAAAGTCATTGCCAGACTTCCTGGGAAGCATTAGTGTTGATGCTGTGCCCAACGAGCTGTGAAGGATATGTGTGTAAAGGAAAGGCCTGCGTGATGATCTTGTCTTTATAGAAGAGGTGAAGAAGAGATAGGTGTTGCTCCCCGGGAGCTCTCTGGGTGATTATTACAGCTAAGGACAGCCATGCCAGGGTAAGCCACCTCAGGCCGGTTCTGAAGCCTACACTGGACACCACTGTTTCCCATCCTGCCTGGCTCTGTGCCCACTGCCGTCCCTCAACCCCCCTCCCTTCCCTCCTCATAGGACCAGCTATGAATCCCATACTGGTGTGGAGAAAGTTATTGGAAAGTACCAGGGACTGGGCGGGGCCTAAGGAGTCCTTTAATGGGTCTTCCTACCAACAGGGATTAGAATCAGCGGAGGAATTGAATTCGTACATGTTGAGGTGGTACCATAGATCTAGCCACAGTTTCTCCCAGGTGATTCTGCTAGTCAGCCCCTGCTTCACTCCCTGTTTTCAATTTCAGATCAAACGTGCTGGGGACCCGAGAGGTAACATGCTGAATCAGACCCTTGGGCCTGCCAGAGCCAGCATCTGCTCTCGTCTGAGGTCTTGCCGTAGCTACCCCTGCTGTCTCTGTTTTCTCACCTTGCTGCTCCTACTTCTTGCCCTGGGCTCTGTGGTTTCTGCCTGCTTGGATCCAAGGACATCCTCAAAAACCCTGGCAGGACCCTGCCCCAGACCAGGAGCTCAGGAGGAGGTAGTAATCCACCTGTTTGGCCAGTATCATTCGCTGAGAAGAGGCACAAGACAGCAGACCCTTTAGGAGGCACTGGGGCCTCTGCTCTGGCCAGAGTCACCCTTTTCCCTAAGCTCAGCTTTGTCTTCAGGAACAGGTGTGTTCAGTGGGGCACAGTACAGCGTGAGAACCACAGTGGATTGTAGCCTTGACATCAGCTAGGGATGGACAAATGATGCTGACAGTGAAGGAAAGATTCAGTCCCCGAGAGTGTGGTTCTTGCTGGGGGAGGTGGGCCAGGTGGCGCAGAATCCTTCCAGCCCACTTGGCAAAGTTGCATCGTCAATTCCTATATCCACTGGGAGTGCACAGGATCAGTATGTCTACCAAGCCTGAGTCCCTGCAGTGAATGAGAGCTAGAGCCCAAGCCAGGGGTGGTGGTGTCTCAGCTCTCACGGAGATTATATCCTGGATCCACATTAGTCCCCTTTATATAACACCCCTCCCCCTGTGGGTAACACTATTGATGAAAACTCAGAGGGAGAAATTGGGGTTCAACCTGAAGGTCAGAAAAGCAAAACAGCCAGCCCTGACTCTTACCTCTATCTCTATCCAAAATGGCAGTCCTGCCCCCAAGACTCTCAGAATGAGACTGACTGAGAGCTGTCTCCTCCTGTTTTATAATCCTCTCCAGGGCTGGGATTACAGACCTACACCACCTGGTTTCTATGTCCACTAGTGTGGTTACTGGGACTAAAGGTGTATGTTACCCCTGCCTGGTCTGTAAGGCTGACCAGTGGGGCTGTTTTACTCTCTGATCTTCAGGCAAATTTCATTTATTAAAATACAAATGAAATACCATCACACCCATGACTCCTTTAGTACCTGCTACAGAAATGTTTAGACGTCATGCCATTTCAATCTCCCAACCCCCCGGAATGAACTCATGCTTAGAGAGATGAGCTGGCTGACCAGGGTTGCAATAGGAGCCATAAGATCTGAATCCACTCCAGCCTCACGCTGCCAAGGCCCAGGACCACAAAACAAGGCATTGTGCCATCTGTCGGGCTACACTTTTGGCATCCTGACAGCCACAGGAGACACAGCCTGGTGAAAGACAAGACCTCATTTGCTTGAAACTTTGAGTGATTTCAGAGAGGGAATGAGGCTGAGGGATTTGTTTTAAGGAACTGGCTCACATCACCATCGGGGCTGCACCCTGCAGGTCAGCAGGATGGATAACTACCAATATCACACAAAGTCAGGAACAACTGATTTTGTTAGCCTTATCTAAACAAAACAAGCCTTAGAGAACCATCTAGAGCACGCTGATGTTCGATCAGGTAATTTGTGCATCTCAGCCTTGCCAGACTGAAATAATGAAATTAACCCCTATCTCCTCATGGGCCTTTCATACCTGCGGGAGTGTTGGCGGCCAGCAGAGCTGGGGAAGCCATGGCCTCTCCTCACGTAGACTTTCCTTTCTATGCATAGGAGGTGGTAAGAGCGAAGCCTAACTTACTGAGGGTTGCTTCATACAAACACAGTATAAAAGATACTTAGAGGTGACAGTGTGAGTGAGGCCCAGGGGATCTGGGGAGATTTCCTGATAGGGCCTGAGGAAAAATTGACAGGACACAGAGGTTCAGGGGTAGAAGGGTACACAAGACTTGGGAAGCAGTGTAGACCAGAGGATGCTGGGAACCAGAGCAGACCAGAAGGATGCAGATAATTCAGTTGGTTTTCTCCAGACTAGCAGCTGCAGCCAACTGTGCATCCTAAGTCAGGAAAATGTACACCTGTATTAAGCACATGCAGACTGTTAGATCTTGTCTTTAGTCCCTGAGCAGGGCACTCTGATAACTTCCTATAGCACTTTTTTTGGTGGCGGCGGCAACTTTTGTTGGTGGGTTTTTTAATTGTTGGTTGTTTGTTCGGTTTCGTGGAGACAAGTGTAACCGAAGCTGACCTTGAACTCCTGATTCTTCTCCTGAGTGCTAAGATTGCAGGCATGCCCACCATGCATGGTTTATATATACGGTGCTGGGACTCAAACCATATGGCCTTGTGCACGATAGGCAAGCATTCTCACAGTGGAGCCTCATCCCACAGCCTTCATAGAGCATTTGTATTACATTATCTATCATCTGGGGACAGGCGCGTAGACCCGAAGCACCGTAGCCTTTCACACAA